TTAAGTAAGTAGAGAGAGAGAGAGAGAGAGAGAGAGAGAGAGGGGCAAAAAATCCTTAAAAAATTTCTAAAATGGTCTATATAAAAAAATATGATTTTAATAAACAAAGCAATATAGATGAAATTGATTTCAGAGTATTTTCTCGTCCACAACCTATTATCTCTTCCTAACAATTATGCTTTCCCTTTCCTTTTGCATTTAGAATTATTTATGTCTGTCATCTTTTCTTTTCTTTTACTTAGCGTTATTCCAGTTCTTTCGAAAAATAACAATTAAGCGACACACATTAATACATATCAAATATTATTTCTAAGGGTAGACTATGCAATTTTTTTCTCAGGTACGATTAATTTGCTTCATTTTTTTTAATTGTACGTTCTTTTAACTTTTTTAATTTAGTCTCTTTTTTTATAATTGTATGTCAAAACTTTTAAAATTTTTTTCTAAAAAAAAATTAAAGAGTTGATTTTAAAACAAGTCTAAAAATAACAAATTTTTAATCACAATGTCATGATTGAATGACTGTGAGATTCATGGATTATTCGGACTTACTAAAATTGAATAAGTCATATTGTATAGATAATTAAAATACATAAATTGAATTTTACAAAAATTAGCAATAATATTTTAACTTAATAATTCAGATTGTTTATTGACATTCAATTATGTATTTGACACTAAATATGACTTAATTTAGGTTAAAATATTTGTATTACATTAATTTTAGAACAAGTTTAAGCATTAAAATCTAATTCGACTCGTCTGCTCTTATTGTTTTCACATGTGATTTTTTTCATAATATTTATATTTATAATTAAATATAAAAAAATTAGGAATGGAATTCTGTTTAGAATCCTGCTTCAAACTTTACATTGTATAAAAGAGATTTATATATTTAAAGATTATACCCGTTAGATTTTACAAGAAATTAGTTTTTACTGTTTCTTTCATACGCGCTTATCTACAAACGCTTAGAAAAAAAAGTAAGGAAAATAAAACTTTGACAGTCGGTAAATTTTACTGAGCTAACCGATTTGTTTCCGTGAATTAATGATAGCTTTGAACGATTCAATCGTCGTATCGTGACGATATTAGCGGATGGATATTCAACGCTCGTCAGATCTCGCTTCTTGGAACCGAAACAACCGGCGGAAAGCCGTAAGTTGCCGTTCTGGCGACGGTCCAATCGCGAATCAGACGGTATCGCCAATAGACGGGTCGATAAATAACGTGGTCAAGTACCAAAATAATACCCGACGGGGATCAAAGCGGCGAAATTCCCGAAGATCTTCCGGCTCGGTAAAAAGTATGTTTCCCATAATCTCCGAAACTTTTCTCCAGTTAGTTTCATTGTTGGAAAAGACACTATTTTCAGACAGAAAAAAAAAAACGTTACTTTTAAGAAAACACAGAGTTTCGTCAAGCCTGATCGTTTCTCGATGCACTTGACCGCTCGCGGGATTCTTCTGCAAGAGAAAATTGCTCCTCTCCCTCCCTCCCTCCCTCCCTCCCTCCTTTCCCCTGACCTTTGCTGATCTTTTTCGCGGTCACGCGTTCCGCGGTGCGTATGTATGTGCGTACGATGCCGTCGACACGCGTCGTTTGATGATATTAACGCGATCTTAATTGCGCGTGCCGACGCGCAACTTTAATCGCCGGGAGCGGTGCGTCTCTGTGCACACATCCTCCCCTCCCCTCCCTTCTCCTCCTCCCACGGCACCCGTCGTGCACCGTTGCAGGTTCAAGCGTCCCTGTCGGAATGTCTAAAGATGGGACAAGGTGTCGTACTCCATCCAGTGATGGAGCACCAACACTCGTCGGGAGATCAAGAATGGGGAGAGATATGTCTTATTTCAACTGCGTCGATCACGCTACAAATCGAAAACTCGGGTCATCTAGGTGTTCTACGATTCAACACTTTCTTGAGAGATCCACCTCGTCCGACCGAAATGGTGTAACAAGTGTCGCTTTCACACATGTGAGAGCAATATGTTTTACTGGTGCATATTCCTGACTCGTAAATCTGAATTCACCAGCAAAAAGTCGCGAACATGTGGAACACCTTGCATCCATGTTTAATAATCACCTGCGAGTGACGAAATAACGCTCAATACCAAATGAACACTCAGAAACAATAGGCGTTAATGACAAATTAATTAGTTTAGCAAGTTTATTAATTAATTAAATAAAATTCTTCTCATTCTTAACTCGATCGATGAAATATTTTATCGTCGGCGTATCGATGACAAAACAGTGATAGTGAAAAAAGAAGAATTAGATGTTGCACGATCGTGAAATAACTCTTCGGATAACATGAAATTAAACGTGTTAATGATAAAAAACTAGAAATATAATGAAGAAAATCATAATGAAGAAAGCGGTAATTTTAGCGAAACTTGTCTATTTCTTCTATTTATTAGCTTTAATTTTGATTTAATTTATTTTATCTAATTTGTAGGATTAAAAAAAATAGAAAATAAATTAAATCGAGATTAGAGTTAATCTATATTAATAAAAATGGATATCAGAAACAAAAGTTGCTTGTTTAAAGCATTAAGGAATTTTCGAATTTTCGACATATCTAACAATTTTAAACATCGATCTTACGACAAATTCTTTCTCTTTTTTCAATTGTTAGTTTCAAACGATTTTATCATAAATTATTCCATTACATTAATCAAGTCTGCCCGTTTATAACAATCAAAAAGAATAAGTTTTTGTTACACAGAAATTTTTTAAGAAAATCTTTGTTTCGTTATATTGTTATTTCAAGTATTCTCACACATATGCTCAACATATGTCGAGCCTACTGTCTTTGTCACAAATGTAAGAGGTCTACTAGTTTAGATCGTAAAAGGAAAATTATATATGCATCAATTTAACCTTAACGTAAAACGTGACAATAATAATGTTAGTCTACGGTTGGATAAATTCTATATGATATTTATGAAAAAATGTGGTATCTCGACAGTCCGTGCACCATCCTTGGGAAAATAACGTTAGTAACGCGAGTATGTGAATGAATCATAGGTCAAATATTAGTTATATTTACTTGTGTTTATGTTAGTTATGTTTAGTTACATTTATGTTATATACAGTGTTATATTACACA